TGAGAGACGATGGACTCTGAGAAACAAACTGAGGGTTCTAGAGGGGAGGGGGGTGGGGGGATGGGTTAGCCTGGTGATGGGTATTAAAGAGGGCACATTCTGCATGGAGCACTGGGTGTTATATGCAAACAATGAATCATGGAACACTACATCAAAAACTAATGATGTAATGTATGGTGATTAACATAACATAAAAAAATACACCTAACATACCAAACATCAAAAAAAAAAAAAAAGTAGCAGGGTAACTTTCAGGAGGCAAGTCCTGAAAGTAGTAGTATTATATCTCTAAAACCCTTCTCTCCCATCAGAGAGTTAGGTGGTTCCTTCCACATGTACTACAGGTTTACTACAGAGAAACATGTTTGTTTGCTTGTTTTGGAGCTACTAATCTCTGATTCTATCCCAGAATAAGAGTGGGAATAATGGTTAGGAGCACTGCCTGAACTTAGGAGCCAGACTGCCTGGGTTCACATTCATGCTTCAGTCTTTGCTAACCACATATCTTAATGGCAAGTTTTTAATCTTTCTGCTATAGTTTTCTCATCTGGAAATGATGCTGATTATAGTATTAGTTTCACACGGGTGTTGTGAGCATTAAGTGTATTAACTTATGTAAGTGTTTGGGGATGTGCCTAGCACATAGAGTGGGCTAAATATTTGCTATTATCATTATTACTACTACTAAAGTAAAATGAAAATGGAATATGTTTGATGGAAATTTATTTCAAAAATCAACTTTCTAGAAATGCTTCTCTTCCATAAAGCAAGTCTTACTTTTTAAGTCGTTTATATAGATTTACGGTATGCCAATCCTACAACCATTTTGGGGACACTATTTAGTTCCTAGACCTTCAGACCATGGAGTATATGTCTTTACTTTCACTTAGCTGCCAAGCTTCATGGTAAAGGACACAGCATTCCTGATCACCCAGATTGCTGAGTAGTTGGGGCCCACGCGGACCAGGAAATTTGGAACTATGAAACATTCACCTGACATAACACATCTGCTTTCCCAGATACAGAAATTGCATTCTTCTCATCTGCCTCCTCCTTGATTTTGATTTCTCTCCCTACTCTTTCCTTATATGTTTTGTCCCATTTGGCTTTTAAAAATAATTCTCAAGCTTCAACAATAGGCATTACTTTGCTGTTTCCAAACTGTTTTCATATAATGTCTTATTTGATCTTTTTTTTTTTTTTTTAAAGATTTTATTTCTTTGAGAGAGAGAACGAGATAGAGTGTGGGGGGGGAGGGTCAGAGGGAGAAGCAGATGCCCTGCTGAGCAGGGAGCCTGATGCTGGACTCGATCCTGGGCCTCCAGGATCATGACCTGAGCTGAAGGCAGTCGCTTAACCAACTGAGCCATCCAGGCGCCCATCTTATTTGATCTTTAACAGCTCTGCTGGAGAAAGGCAGATAGCAATTTTTGATCAATTGATCTGTCCTTTTTTCTTTTCTTCTCCCCTTAATCCAGTTTGGATTCATAGTCCATCGTTGGAGCAATACTTTTGGCGATATCCCACGCTTTTTTGCCCCTTTGGTATTTTATCATTCCCTCTTGAAAAACCCTAATCCTGGATGAAACCAAATAGGCACTTTATCTGGATTCACACTGAGCAACCAAGTCTTGCTGAAGCAGTCAGTTTGTTTGTGCTATAAATTTGTGACCACTCCTTCAGATGTGCCCTCGGTACAGCCTGGCAGTCCTCTTCTGTTTCTCTGATTAGTTTATTCTCTATTTCCATGACTTTTTTCCAACACTACCCTTTCTGTTTAATATTCTGATTCTACACATGGTCCCCACGTTGGGCATGACCTCACTTCTGCTTTGATGGGGATGACACGAGCCATCGTAATGGAGCCTCCTACATACTCTGTACCATCCCTGCAAACCTCCTGATATCTGCAATAAGGACATCTTCCTTTCTTTCTGTTATATGGATAAACCACCCTTCCTCATGACTTAGGCCATGCCTTCCATATACACTTTTGATTTCTTGATACACTGCAATCATCCCTTTTCTCTGGTATATTCAATAGCTTTCTGTCTTATCTGGATTGTTCCCATTGGCTTTTAAACATGCCTGTGTTTTCCCTGTTTCAGAAACAAAACAGCCATAACCCAAATAGAACTCCCTCAGTGTACCATCCTTGGCCTGTTCTTGCCCCATTGCAAATGAGTTTAGTGTACATGAAAATACTCTGTAAATAGCAAAGCTTTGTAGCTATCCAGGAGGCAGGGTTTGATGAAATTAATGTACAAAATACTGTGAGCCATTTTCAGTCTTCTGGCCGTCTGCCTCGCCAGCGTGGTAATGGTATGTAGGAAGAAACAGTGGCAAGGAAATACATGCAGTTATCATTAGTGATAAACTATGAAAAATCTCATAAACACAGTCTTGAAAGATGAGCAATCATCATGGACAGTAGAGGCCATCTTCTTAAGAAGTTCCCGCAGAGCAGTTTAACCTCATGAGGTTGCATAGTGCTCCTTTTTGTTTTTAGCCAAATTCTTTTTAAAGACTTTATTTATTTTAGGGTGAGGGGGGAGCGTGTGTGCACATGAGTAGGAGGGGCAGAAGGAGAGGGAGAGAGAATCTGAAGCTGACTCTGCACTGAGTGCGAAGCCTGACACAAGGCTCCATCTCATGACCACAACCTGAGCGGAAACCACAAGTCCGATGCTCAACCGATTATGCCACCCAGGTGCCTCTCCTGTTTGTTTTAAGTGGCATTAGTGAGGTCGCCATCCCTTCTGGGAGGAGCTGAGGAAAACCCTGGTACCATGGAGCTGGCTGTATACATACTGGAAATAACCAGGACAGGCTGGAATGAATGAAACAAGCAGTATTGTTACTACAGTCCTATTCGGCCCTGTGCCCCGCCCTCCTCCCTGCCCCATGACTCAAGGACAAAGTACACTCTAGTTAACCCACAGGGGGATTTAGCTGACACTTGTCTGTATTGCTCCAGCACATACGGCAGAATATTTTACAGAGAAGAAGCCCAGCTCACCCTGTTGGTTTTGGTGATTGCTCGTTTGGCAAAATAGGCTGTAGTACAATTTGTGCAGAACTCCAAGAGAGAGAAGATAATCAGCATGGCTGCAATTCTGTTCCTAGAAAGGTGAAATCAGGAAAAAACATACCAAAATTTTGACTAATCAAGAAGTCGTCACACAAGCTTCAAAAGTTATTGACTCATCAAATGTGCCATTGCTCTTACTCCGCTTACTCCATGATTGTTTCTCTGTTATCATCAAATGCTTATTTCCGGGGAATGTGAATTAATTTTCAATTTAAAATGCCAGAAGATTTTCCTTTTCTCCAGCAGACCATTTAGAAACATCAGAAAGGAAGTATATATTTTTTTCTTTCAATGGCTTTCTTGTTTTTATAAAAATGTAACCTACTTATTAAAAGAAGTCAAGCTATATAGAGCACAGTCGATCATTCCTAATGTCACTGCCTAGAAATAAGCAACATTGAAATTTGATGCCTATTATTCTAGATCTCTCTGTAGAGGCCAAAAGGCAGATCAAGAAGTGGATGCATGGAGAGACAGCAAGAGAGGAAGCGGAACAAGAGAGGGGATGAGAGAGCAAGAGAAAGAAACATTGTTTTTGAAGAATGGAAGGGTTTTGTACTTATGTTTTGAAGTAAAAGTATTATGTGATTTTTAAAAGAATAGAAATGAGTAAATTAAGTCTGCAAAAATTGAAAGTTTAGGGAATCCATGAAGAAGCTGAAGTAATTTTAAACTAACAAGTTTCTATTTTGGACAGTCTGAGATGGCTGCTACGAAAAATGAGCCAAGTGGCACTCTCATTTGATATCTCTCTCCTGTTCCCTCTCTTCACTTCCCAGTTTTTGGTGATTATGTCATTTTTTCACTTTTTTTGGGGGGTGAACATTAAAAGCTTTATATTCACTTCTGTAACTGTCATTTCTCCAGTTGTTCAGTCTTACAGTCTTAGATGAATATTTAAAGGGTTTAGTCCTCTTCACTCATCTCTTTACACAGCTTCTCCCTGCCTTTCTGATCTTAATTTAATTTATCTCCTTTATGGTAGAATATTCTTTTTTTTTTTTTAAAGCACCAGTGTGTTGTTGTTTACTGAGAGTATCTTCTTTTTGCTTTTTTACTTGTATAAGAATTTGATTGGATGTGTTATTCTTGAGTCACAATTTCTGTTCATCAAAATTTTATGACGTTGCTTCACTGTCTTCCCTCATTGAACATTGCTGTGGTGGAGACCGAGCCACACTGATTTTTTTCCAGCTCATAGGTAATTGGGTTTTTCTGCCTGAAACCTTAAAGAACCCTTTGTTGTACCTTCTATCTTAACAAGGGTCTATATATGTATCTATGTCATCTATCTCAATTATTTTACATCTCTTTCTCCCAGTATAGGTTATTCCCTTTCAATGTGCAAAGTCAGTTATTCTCTTATTTCAGGATCTTTTTTTCAGTATTACTGGATACTTTTTTTCCTGTACCATTTGTTGGATTCTCTAACGCAGGAACACCACTTATTATGTTGGATGAAACTTGCCTGTCTTCCATGTTTATCATCTCTCTAATTATTTAATATATTTGTCATTTTCTTCAGTGAAGACTGTGATTACAGTTTTTCTTTCTACCGTATTTATCTGAGTCCATTCTATTTCTTGCTAGATCTATCTAGTAAAGATATGATTTCTTTACTAGATCTGTCATAGTGGTTTGGGGTACTCAGTTGGTTTCTATAGTGCTGCAGTGTTCTTTTTTTCCTTCTGTCATTTTATTTTCTTATTAATGATTTTCAATAGTATAAAATGCTCATGGGGAATCTTCTATAGATAATTGGGTAATGTTTCTTCCATTTTTTTTTTTTAATCTGTACCATTGACATGCTATGGTATAACATGGCTTGACCTGCTACTTGGAAATTCCTTTTGTTGTCTCTGTGTTAAATTGAAAAATGTATACCTAGAATTGAATTGAATACGAATTCCTGAAACCCAAGTGGTATGTCTGGGTCACATGGTAATCACAGACTAGAGTCACTGTTTCATAGAACAGGAATTCGAGCTAAAATTTGAGGATGTGGCTTTCCAGATTAGTAAGGAATCTAACCATGAGAATGAGGAAACTCAGTGTTTTCCTGATTTATGTGACTCATATCCCCATCAAACCAGGGCACATCTTGTGAGGAAGAGGGAAGGCACATGTGTTTGCTCCATTTTATCATCTGACATGTTTTTTATTCCAATCAGTTGAATTGTATTGTTTGCTCAAAATAAATAATAGACATCTGAGTGTTCCTGCTGACCCGCTAACCCACGGGAATCTTTAGTCTTTTTTCCTTTCATTTCTTCATTTAATCACTCTAATGTATTTGGATAGTTTCCCTACCATTTTTTTTTTTCAATTTTCTTGTTCTTAAAGTGAACAACTGTATATAGGCTTTATATTTGTTCGATACGGTATAGGTGAGTTTTCCTTGGTTCTTTTTCTACTTAACTACATCCACTTTGTCTTCCTTGTTTCCAGCTTCAGTTTCAGGGCCAGACATTGTTTTATGTTCATTTTATGGAATGCTAACCATGCAGCTGTAGCAGTGAAAGAAATGGCTTAGTTGGCACTGAGCACAATTCTTGCTAGTGAATGTAGACTTTGCTTTCTCTTTCTTTTGAGAAATATCTATACTCAGACCTGCTCCAGGGTCAGAGGTATATTCTTTTCCTGTGGATTTCTGTTCATTCTTCCACGTTATCAAGGTGCACTGGAATATGTTAATTCTGGTGACATTTCCTACTTTTCTTGAGGTCCTGAGGTGCTACACAAGGGCTTTTACCATTCAGGATTTGCTTTATACATTCTTTTTATTTTTAAAGATTTTATTTATTAGAGAGAGAGTGAGTGCACAAGCAGGGGGAGGGTAAGGGGAGAGGGATAAGCAGACTTCCTGCTGAGTGGTGAGCTGGATGTGGAGCTCGATCCTAGGATCCTGAGATCATGGCCTGAGCTGAAGTCAGATGTTTAACTGACTGAGCCACCCAGGTACCCCTGCTTTATGCTTTCTTAAAATTGACTGCTCTCCACCTAAGTCTTCTTAGCTCCAGATTGGAGAGCATTAGTGAGACTTGTCTGTATTTTAGGGTGTCCTGCTTTTCTTAGTTTTGTTTCTGGGGAATAAAAAACAGGGTCAGGAGCTGTACTTCCTCTACCACCTTGAGACACAGCAGAATCATTTGGTTTTTTTACTTGGATGCCAATTCAAAAGGTAGTTTTTGAGTAATTTTTGTTTTTTGGTTTGGTATTAATAGAGGATAAATTTTGTGTTCTTGATTCTCTCCACCTCTCTTACCAAAAAGTTCCCTCATATTCTTGCCTTCTTATAAGTACTTCCGTACACTTTCTCTGCTCTTGGGGTAATTGTCAGAGTCCATGCTTTGCCTAATATGATAATGAATGGGTGATTCTATTTTGAGAACATTCAGAGGCATTTCATTTTGAAGTTGTTTGGTTCTTTGAATTTCTCTAATAAAAGTGAAATGTCCTTGTTGCAGCCAATTTCCCCTCATCCCATTCTTACTCTAAAATAAAACTACTCAATAACTTGACTACCTTATTTACGTAGAATTTAAAATCTTTGGAAAATTCTATCTTCGTATCTTTAAGTGTTTTCCCCATTGTTCACATGATTAACAGTGAGACCAATAAAAGATGCCCTTTCTGCCCCAGTCCATCTGTAGAGGTAGCTCTCCTACTTCTTCTGCAGTCCTAGAGATCATATGACCAGGAGTAGGGATGGAATAGAAAAAGGGATTTTCCACTAGGGCTACCGTACAGTCATAAGAGGTTAAAAAATAGACTGGCCCTGTGGGTGTGGAGAGGGGCATGCGGTAGGTCTGGGGTACTTACGACTGCCCAGTAGTCTTGGTTGGGTAGGCCATTGATGCTCACGTCTATCAACAGCAGAATCACTCCAATGAAGGCAAAGAAAGCACTGACAATGTTCATTCCTAAGCTGCTTTTGATCTAATGGAGATGACAGGAAAAATAAATCATATATAGGAGAAAAAAAATTAATGAAGTAAGAATCAGTTAAATGTAATGGTTCTTAATCTCTGAAATCTTGAAAAAAATTTTGAAGATGAAATGACTTTTTTTCCTCTGCTTTTCTGAGTTTTCATGAAAACTATTCTGTATGCAGCCTAAATGTGTACTTCTGAAATCTGTAGAAAAATGTAAATAATGCAAAGCAGAAGCTCATCTATTAGGTTTGCCTAAAAGCCTCACACACAATAACAATTATATTACCTTTTTAAAGTAATAAAACAACAGATAAACCATGAATGAGCATTTTTCTGTGACAGGCACTGTATTAAATTATTTAAATACAGTATCTCATGAAGCTCTTACAACTACCGAATGAGGTAACTACGTAGCATCCAATTTTATAGATGGAAAAGCATGTATGCAAAAGCATCTTTGCTAATAAATTTAGAAATTGACAAAAACCCTGAAGTCTTTCTAGGGACTAAATAAAAAACCCCAGATTTAGAATGAGGAACTCATTAGGCTTTTGTGGGTAGAGGTGTATGGGTAGAGTACAAAACTTTCCTGTTTCTACAAGAAGATTTTGACCAGATTCTGTGGTGGGACAACCTCAGTTAGAGGGAAGGATCCATAAATGGTGCAGAAAAAGGGTGTTCTAGTTTGTTTTTTGATTACAACAGAAGTGGTTAATTGGGATTAGGCTGATTAGTTTAGTCCAGTTTAGTTTAGCCTAGTCTTTAGTTTCTAGTCTAGTGTTTAGTGTCTAGTTTAGTGTCTGTTCTAGTCTCTAGTCTAGTCTCTGGTGTCTAGGAGAACATGAGCAGCAAGATTCTGTGTTCCCATTTTTCCATTCTTTCCTCTTGTGCTGGATTAAATATAATCTTGAAACCACTTCTGCTTTGGTTGTCATTATTTCTTGGCAAATCATTTTCTCCTGTTTCAAAAGTAGACCAGGAAATTGTAAAAGGTGGAGAGCTGTGACCAAGAGAATTGAAAGACCTGTCTCAGTGATTATTTTTATAAACTTTTTGTGTACCCAGTTGGTGCTTTTAGTGATGATTTAACACACTGTAAAACAAAAGTCAAATCTGAGTAAAAATAGATACGTGCAAATAAAAAATAAAAAAGGCAAGGCAGAACTGAGAAATGGCAAATGAATAATAGAGTCTTTAATAGTGAAATGGCAGGTGGGTATTTCCTGGCTCCTATATTCTGCTTTGGACTTCCCCTAATGCAGTGTGACCCAACTGAGCCAGGTAGCTTTTGGGATAAAGCTAAACAACCTTATCTATACCACTTCTCACTTTTGTGATTAAAGAGTCAGAAGGTGGGGCTCTTCCATTGATGAGTGGCAAATTGTGTGGACCATGCTGGGGCGCACATGTCATGAAGGCAGTCAATAGAAATATTTTTGGGAAAAAGTGTTCCCCTTTGCATTTGCTGAATCCACTTTCTCAATTTTCCTCTCCAAATCAACTAATGAATCTTCAAAAGAGTTTAAAAAGTAGAAACATTCTGACTTACCAGACTAGGAGAAAGTTTCTTGGACGCCAGTATAGAGAGAGAACAGTAGTAATGAACTGTAGAAACAGACACATTTATTTATGAAAGATGGGTTCTTCAATTCTGGGAGCTTCTCTCTTTGCAGGAAAGATTGGTTTATTTATGTTCATCTAGTCTCCCTCTCAAAAATTCCTCTCATGCTTCTGCATTTTTCTGGAGTAACTTTCAGAGATTGTTTTTGTTTGACTTCTCCATTTGTTTCTCTCCTTAGTTTCTCGCATATAAGGAGCTCATTTTTTTGTGAGCTTACCTGTTCTGATGACCTCCGAGCTCACAGCTCAGTCTCTTGTCATTATCACTTGCATATTTTTAATCATGCTCCCCATCACCTCCTTTTGCCTCTCCACCCCAGTGCATACATTTCCATCTCAAATGTAATCAGGAACTAAAATTTTGGCTTTTTGGTTACTTGATCAGAGTAAACTTGAGGGTATGAATTTAAACTGCAGGTTAAAATGGAGGACAGAAGCTCTCCCTTGTTTATAACCAACCAGAGCTGTTATTTATCAATTTTCCAGCTGATCTGATGCGGGGCTTATCAGAAAATGAGTTGTGCATAGGCTGGGGGTAGCCGTCCTTGATAAACTGAGAAGGAGAGGTGTTCTAGCAGTCTACTCACAGAGATGCCACCCCAGAATGGATATCCACTAATAAAAGCAAAGGAAGCAAATCCCAAAACTTGTCTATAAACGACGTTCATGAAACCTAAAATAATTCCAAAACCAATGTGCATCAATTCAATCATGATCTGGATTGCCTGAAAAAAGAAAACAGGCATGTTAAAGTTGCTTCTTCATTTACAGGCACTAATGAGACATTACTGACATTGCTGCTACTGCTTATTTATTGTATCCTCTGTCAAGATGCACGAGTGTCCTTTAGGCATGCCTACCTGTACAGCAGGAGGTGGGCCATGAAGATTTTGGCATACAATGGAGCCAGGCCCTCAGCATAGGCCTTGTTTGAGGTATTTGGGGTGGCTTGTACGGGTGGCCCAAGGAGAGTTCTTTAGAAGCTGCTACCTGTTAAGCATGCATTGGTGTCCCCTGAGAGCCTCTAAAAGACTCTGAAAAAAATGCTTTAACTGTGACTTTGATGACTGTTTCAGATGGACCTATTCTCTGCATGGCAGATCCCAGTTATGGGGAAAATATCCATGAAGGAAGTATCAATGAATTTCTGGGGCAGTAACTGCATATTTGATAATATTCTAAACACTTCACATTTATTGTTTCATGTAATCTTCCCAGCGACTGGATGGAGACGCAGAGGTGTCTGTTTTAGTCTTCTCAGGCTGCTATGAGAAAATACTGTGCTACCCTCTGGGTAGCTTATAAACAACAGAAATGAAATGTTCTGGAGGCTGGGATGTTGCAAGTTCATGAGGGTTGCTTCTAGTGAGCCCTCTCCCTGGTTCCTAACGGTGCCTCCTCATTGTGTCCTCACGTAGTGGAAAAGGCTCAGGATCTCTGAGGAACCTCTTTCATAAGCCCATTCATGGGGGCTCCACCTTCACGAACTAATAAGTACCTCTTAAAGGCCCACGCCCTAATACTATCATTGTTAGGGTTAGGATTTCAACATAGGAGTTTTGGGAGGTCATTCAGACCATAGCAATGTCCAAACAATTACTGAGCGGCAGATCTGGAAAGTTAATACAGCAAATTGATTCCAGCACCCGTGTCTTTTAACTATTGAATATGGCCTCCCCTCAGGCTCAGCTCCAGCTCTTCTATGAAGTTATCTTGATTATATTAGTCAATTTAAGCTATCTTTTTTCTTCCTAAATTTCGGTTTTATCTGTAAATTATACATCTTATTACTTGGTTTTGTACTCATTTATATTGTTATTTTTTTTAATTGCAGGTATGCAAACATTTTCTTATTGGCCAAGACATATATATTCTCAAAGACAGAGGATACATCTTTGTACCTCTTAGAATACCTTCTTTCATCCTGAATAAACAGATTTGTGAGAAGTAAGTGCTTGTAGTTTGGGCCAGAAGCTAACCGTAGATTTACCATTTGTTTCTTCCTAAGCTTACATCTTATCTGTCCAAGAAGACTACAAATACAAATATTGCTGTGTTTATTTCTTCAATAACTTCCTATTAAATACAGTTAAGTTATTAAGTCGAATCAGAATTGGAAAAAATCACAGCTTCCTAAATAATGCTAAGAGATTAATATTTTCTTTGAGTAATGAATTTCTTTGAGAGTAATAAAAACTATGAATCTTCTCCTTGAAAATCTATTCTTACACATCCATACATACACACACCACACTTTTGCATATGACTTCAGAGGTGTCATGGGCTAAAGCCAGTCATGGATCTCAGTTGAAGGACTCCTGCATTAGGCATTATAATTGGTTTTTACAAGCTCTTCCTTAGAGCGGCAATTCACTCATCTGGCCACAAACTTCTTATTCTCATCCTTGCTGTCATCTTGATGGCAGTTAGATATTGGATTAATACTAGCTTACTTTTCTCCCAGTGTGACGCTGGCTCTACCATTTACTGACCAAACTTGCCTACGGGCCAGACAGTAATTTGGTCGTTTAACTCACTCTGGAGTTTTGGCCACAGAACCACTTTGAATTCTGAGTCAACTGGGGCAGATGCTCCCTGTCCTACCACCTGAGGCCCCTGCATTGTTATGACTGGGAGCTACTGATAGCATAAGTGTACAATCTTCAGGGAGAAGAAGTAGCTTCTGCAAGCACAGCATCCTTCACTTTAAAGTGCTTTTCTTGAGTACCTCTTTGTTCCCAGGCAGAATGCTCCAGGCTTTCCCCGCTCCACTCAGTACAAACCAGAGCCTCTGTCCTCCAGGCCTCACAGGGTCTAGCCCCCACCCCTCCTCTGCCGTCCTTGAGGCAACAACCTCCCTCCATCATACTGTTCTACTTTACTGGTCTCCTCCCTGTTCTTCAAACACAGCACACGTTTTCCTCTAAAGACCTTTCCAACTTTACCTGGAAGCTCTTGCCCAGATGACTCTGGCTTGCTCCTCCCCTCATGTCTTTGCTCAAATGTCATCTTCTAAGGAAAGCCTACTCTGATCAACTTGAAATGGCTTACCCATACCCTTCACTGCCTGGTACTAATTATTAGCCGTTTTACACTTCTTTATTCTGTCCAAATCAAGTATCACCTTTTTTAAAAAAATTTTTATTGTTATGTTAATCACCATACATTACATCATTAGTTTTTGATGTAATGTTCCATGATTCATTGTTTGTGTATAACACCCAGTGCTCCATGCAGAGCATGCCCTCTTTAATACCCATCACCAGGCTAACCCATCCTCCCACCCCCTCCCCTCTAGAACCCTCAGTTTGTTTTTCATGTGTCACTTTCTAACACATCATGTACTTTAGGTCTTTTTTATGTGTGTAGTCTGAGCTCTGTGATTCTAACCTATGTGAGGGCAGAGATTGTGCCTGTTTTGTTCTCTGTAGTCTTCCCAACACCTCTGTGGGGTCGGCTTTGTGGGATGCCAGTTTGTCCCTTTGCTCAGTGGGAGTAGGGAATTTCCTTTCTCTGCCAGTAGGAGGATCTGAGGGGCCACCCCCACAGCCTAGATCTGCCTGCTAGAGGGGGCAATGCTTATTTTTACTTTTCTAAAATGGTAGAACTTGAAATAGGTAGTAAGATGGCTGGACGAGTTTCTGGTACATAGTGAGCACTCAGTATAACTTACTGAATGCTCTAGCAGAGAAGTTAGAACTGCACACAGGGAGAGACAGTACTGTGTCATGGAATTGTTAGTGGCATGAATGAGGTACCTGGAAAGCACAGCAAAAACTAACAATTCTGTCTCTGCAGGTGGATCTTCATCTACAAGTAGGGCATGTCTGACAATGCTTACATAAACAAGATTATGAGTGTTTAAAGCACCCTTTGTAGAAGTAACATGGCAGTTAAGTCATAACGTCTGCACAGGCCCTGGGTGAGAGGCACAGCAGATGGACTGGCCATGAATTCTTCCGCACCCAGTTTCCCCAGACTGCCCATTTATAGTTGTTTCTGTTTTTAAGGCAGCTGTCAATGTTCATTTTAATGAGAATTCACCTATATACAAATACCAGGCTTGCACTACTGAGACAGGATTGAGGGTGCCCAAAGTGTCCTTTGCAGAAGTGAGATCAAGCTAGAAGTGGTGGTGTTTCCATAATGTCAGCGTCACTGAATCATCCTGCTAGGAAGAGTCCTTTGTCACCTGTTAGGGTCTTTCTTGAATCTAAAATAAAGTGAACTCAGGGTAAAGTCTGTATGCAGATGAATTATTTCTGCTTTAAAGGGACACAGTTTCCAGAGTAACATTCAGAACTTTTTAATGATTGAATGTAGGTCATGAGATCATAAACTTTTCTCCACCTATAACTTACAAGTACAGTATAACCTTGCGAATGCAAAATTAAAATTCTCATAGTAAGTAGACTTACCCCTAATATCTTTGCTTCTTCTGCGAAGTTTATGGTTGCTGTTTCTGTAGCTGGGATTACCACCTGTGTGTTTCCCTGGTCTTGCTGACTGTTGGTGATGATTCTTGGAGACCCGAAGAGGGAAGGCTGACCACCCTGAGCTTGGTTTCCCAGGTGTGTGAAACCCGTGGTTTGTTGAGACCTGGGAGCCATGACGTCGTTTGGTGGATAAGGACTGAGGATGGTTTCATACATTCGGGGCTGGGTTGTTGGCTGGGATGACATCATTATGTCCTAAGTACTACAAAACATAACAAACTGATCACTTTACCCCACACACACAAAAAAAAAGTTAAAGAAAATCTTGTCAAATGTCAAATTTCTATGTAAATACTATAGAGTAAGTGAGCAAATAATGGGCAATGACAACCAATGTAAACATGATCCTTATTTGACTTTGGAATCTATATACCCTGTAGTTCAAAGGAAGTGAGGGAGCGGAAGATAGGAGTAATTTTATTTTCCAATTCCTATTTGATGTTGTAAAGTATTTGTATATATTAACCTTCCTTGAGTTCATGGCATCTGAAGGACAACAGAGGGAGGGAAGAGATGGTGGTAGGCAGAATAATGCACCTTCCCTTCCCCAGAAATGTCCACATTCTAATGGAGGAAGCCATGAGTGTGTTGGGTTACATGACAAAGGGGATTTAAAGTTGCAAATGGAATTAAGGTTGACAGTCAGCTGACCTTAAAACAGGGAGATTTCCTGGGTTATTTGGGTGGGCCTAGTGTAATCACAAGGGTCCTTAAAAGTAGAAGAAGGAGGTAGAAGAGAGAGAAAGATGTGGTGGTGGAAGCAGGGTCAGAGAGATGCTGTGCTGCTAGCTTTGAAGATGGAGGAAGGGCCTGGGAGCCGAGGACTAGGGTGGCCTCTAGAAGCCAGAGAAAAGCCAAGAAAATAAACTTCTTCCTGGAGCCTCTGGAAAAGAATGCATCTCTGCCAACACTGTGATCTTAGCTCAGTGAAACTGGTGGCCTACAGAACTATCGGATAATGAATTTGTATTGTTTTAAGCTGCTAAATTTGTGGTAATTTGTTACAGCAGTAAATAGAAAACTAATTAATGGCACCAAGAATACAATTGGACGGCAAGAACGGCAGTCCATGATTTAAAATTATTTGTCACTACTTTCCCAAATAGATAATTCATACATGGCCAATTAAATTGTCGTGTTCTTTAGGAAGAATACTCTTGAGATTCCCTATTCATTTTTGTCCTTTGGAAGCACAGAATATCTCAGGTCCTTTGTGGCCAAGGGGAATTTTGTTGGAAATCAACTAGCACTAGATATGGACAGCAGTCACTATTTATCCTGGAAAAAAAATTATGACACTTAAAAATGTTTATCTTCAGTGTCCTTAGATTCCCTTTTTGAGACATCATCCCCAAACCATTTTCTTGTACACCATAAATACTAAGAAAGAAGGAGTTCTGAATGCCTTCATCACCGCAGGAAGTATGAGTAGTCCGCTGGCTCATTGCAGCCCTGGAATTTTAACAGGGGCACTTATTCAGACTGTGTCCTAGAATCCTGGAATTTCAGAGCCTTTCCAATCATTCTGTCCTTTACCCTTGGTTTACAGAAGAGAAACTGAAGTGATACGAGTTCAATGCTGCGATCAGGGTCACACACAACTGAAGTGATACGAGTTCAATGCTGCGATCAGGGTCACACAGAACTGAAGTGATACGAGTTCAATGCTGCGATCAGGGTCACACAGAAAACGTGTGGCAGAGCCAGGACTAGAAAACTGAGCTCTTGGCCATGGAGTTCCCACTGCAACCACACTGCTCCCTCGGGACGCTTACAGAGCTGGTTTCAGGCCAGCCTTGGTGGATTGGCTCTGCACCTCCAACTGCCCAGCAACAAAACTACTGTCTTCTGATGCTGTGGAGAAGACTCTGCAAACCAGACTCATTTCTTAATGCTTTGGTGATTAAGTGAGTAAGGCCTCTCCTCAGTGAGCCTCAAGTGAGCTGTCTAGAGAGCTAACATTTTATTAAACCCTCATTGTGGGCATAGTAGGGGCTATACAGTGTCATGGTTTGGAGCATGAACTCGGTTAGAATCCTGGCTCTGATACCAGCTCTGTGTCTTTGGCAAGTTTGTTAAACCCTCTTGGCCTTACCTTCTTGTCTGTAAAATGAGGATCCTAAGAGTACCTTCCTTATAGGGTTACTTTGAGTATGAAGGAGTTATTCCATGTAAAGTTCTTAGAATTGTACCTATTATAACTGCATGGGTTGGGTATATTATTGCTTAGTGGGTGAAATATATTATTTCTCTTAGTCTTTAAAACCTCCAGCGAGGCAGGTACTAATATCCTCCCCCATTTACAATGAGAGAATTGCATCAGAACCTGTACTCACAGCCCTTAACTCTAAGCTGCTTGGATGCTAGATACAACTGAGAAAGGTTGAAAACTCAGTGGAAAGGTGGCAGACACATTTTGGAAACCTCTGATTAAGAGATTACTTTTTTCAGAGCAGAAACAAATTTTAATTCACAAAAGTTTATTTTAAACAAAATAAACAGTTCCATAGCTGTGATTCTTGGAGTGACTCCCTGTAGCTCTCTAACATTTGAGAATATGAGGTTTTATAACCTGTGCATGTGGTTTCAGTGGCCATTTAGTGCTCACACCCTACCAATCTGGTCTCCTTAATCCCTAGTCAGCTACTTTAATAACCCTGGGGCCTTGATCAACTTTCTTAACTAAATCCATGTTAGTCCCTCTGTCTCAGCTATAAAATGAGACTAAGGATGCCATTCAAAGTAGCTGGTGTGGAGGCAGAGTTAAGATGGTGGAGTAGTAGGGTTACCCTGAACTTTCCTCATCCTTCAATCACAGCTAGATCAATATCCAACTATTTTGAACAACTAGGAGGATGATCTGAGGACTAAGGAAACAATCTACACAGTTGGAGGGAGAGAATGTGGTAGATGTGAGGTTTGGAGCTGTGACTTGGAGAGGAAAGCCTCATGGCCGTGAAGGGGAGGGAACCCTTTTTGTGGAGCAGAGTCAGGGAGAGGGAGAAAGTGGGAGAGAGCACAGTGGGTAGGAACTGCACAATAAGCCGCAGTGAGGAGTTCCCCCGAGTCACCCTGGGAAAGATCACCCCCGCTCCCGGATTACATTTGGAAGAGCGTATTTTGCCTCTCCAAGGACAAAAGGCCAGTGGGAGCCATTGAGCAGTGCTCAACAACAGGGTCAGAGGTGTGTGCAGGGGGCAGAAAAATCTCTTAAATTTTCACTGTAAGCCACAATAGGCTTAAACCTCTGTGTGCAGGCAGAGCGGCTGCTTTTCGGTGGCAGAACTGAGCAGAGAGCAGAGACTTGGGCAGATTACAGACAACTGGGCTGCTGCTTCTCAGTGTCTGCCTCTGTGCCACTGCTTTTCTGGGACAGGACAGTGCTGGGCACGCCGCAAGGCCCTCCTCCGGGGCTGGGGAGTGGGCCTGCACCTTGCCAGGCCTTTTAAAACTTGGGAGTTTTGAATCCCAGCCACCAGCCAGAGATAAAATACAGGAGATTAGTGGTGCCGGGTGTGCTGATGGCCCATGAACAGACAGGTGAAGGGCAAGGAACTGATGAAAGCTGGGGTCACAGGAGATTGGTCACTTTTCTGAGAGGGCCTCCTGAACAGCGGTGGCTGGTAGTTCTGCTCCCTGGGAAGAGAGGGCTGGGTGACACCATATTCTTCCTCTTCCCCTACCCCCCTTCCCCCACAGCACAGTTGGACTTCAGAGAAACACAGCATCTCCAATGGAGGCTGAAGTCCCCTACATTAAACCCTGCTCCCCTTCACCTGGCAGGGGCATCTTTACAAGGGCAGGTCAGCTTGGGAGCCAGCCCAGCAGGCCTCTCCCTCAGAAGACCAGCGCAGGCCGCTGCATGTACCAAATCTACTGATTAAACAATGCTCCAAAACGTCAGAATCTGCTGGAAATAGGACCAGGCTTCCTTCTTTTTTTTTCTTTCTTAATTTTTTTACATTTTTACATTTTTTATTTTTTTATTTCTCATTTTTTATTTTTTGTCTTTTATACATATATTGTTTTCTTTTTTCTTTTCTCCTCTTTTATTTGGTTTCAGGCTTATAATTTTTTGTTCATTTGTTTGTTTCCTTATTTCTTGGATCAGGCTTCTTATTTTTTTTCTCTTCTTTCCTTTTTCTTCTTTCTTTCTTATTCTTTGGAAATAGGCTTATAGTTTTTTGTTTGTTTGTTTGCATTTTTCTTACTTTTTCTTTTCTCTTGGATCAGGCTTTTTTTTTTTTCCTCTTCCCTTTTCTTTTTTCTTTTCCAGGCTTACCACACCAGTTCAAGGTCCAGACACTCCCCACTGCAAGCAAGGAGGAACTCTGTAGGGGACAGACCAGTGGAAAGAGCAGCCAAAACGCAATAGCAGAGTGTACACGGCATACACTGGAAACACTTCCTGAAGTTTTTGTTGTTGTTTTTATTGTTTTTTTTTTTTTAAAGATTTTATTTGACAGAGAGAGAGAGAGAGAGAGAGATAGCGAGAGCAGGAACACAAGCAGGGGGAGTGAGAGAGGGAGAAGCAGGCTTCCTGCCGAGCAGGGAGCCCGATATGGGCCTCGATCCCAGGACCCTGGGATCCTGACCTGAGCTGAAGGCAGACACTTAACTACTGAGCCACCCAGGCGCCCTATTGTTTCTTTTTTCTTTTTCTTCTTTGCTTCCTTTTCTAGACGGAATGACAAGACAGAGAAATTCACCCCAAGAGAAAGAACAGAAGGTAGTACTCACTTTCAGGGATTTAATCAATACAGATAGAAGTAAGATGTCTGAACTAGAATTTAAAATGATTATTAAGATACTAGCTGGGCTTGAAAAAGGCATAGAAGACAATAGAGAATCCCTTACTGTAGAGATAAAAGAACTAAAGTCTAGTCAGGCCAAAATTAAAAATGCTATTACCAAGATGCAGTCCTAAGTGGAAGCCATAAAAACGAGGATGAATGAAACAGAAGGGAGAATCAGTGACATAGAAGATAAAATGATGGAAAATAGGGAAGGTGAAAAGAAGAGGGGAAGAAAACTGTTAGATCACAAAAGGAGACTTAGAGAATTCAGCCATTCCATTAAGCAAAATAATATCCATATAATAGGGGTCCCAGAAGATAAGGAGCAGGAGAGAGGGGCAGAAGTTTGTTTGAACAAATTATAGCTGAGAACTTCCCTAAGCTGCGGAAGGA